AGATTTTAACCAGACTTCCCTCTGGCTCCCGGGTTCTGACTCCCACACCTACACCTCCTCTCAGGAGGGAGAACAGGATTCTCTGGTTAGTTTTACAAACGCTCCTTCCCATGTCTCAAGGCTCCCATTTATGCGTCATACTTTGAATGCAAACTATGGGATGGGACGGCCTCTCTGTTCTGCTTTTAAAGCAGTACACAGCTATTGTTTCTAGTCTACAGAAAGTGCTTCTACAACATAACACCCCACAGTACCCTTATCCAAGTCTCAACAGGGAAGGTCCAGTACAGCTTTTTCTGACCATCAGATCTCTGAAGAGCTTTTTGGTCTGCACAACAGAAAATTTTAACTGAGTAACTCAGATCACCACTCTGTTCCCAGATTTGAAGCTAAATGTGTATGTGCTCTCCCCTTTCCCCTCTGCCCTCATCTCAAGGGTCTCCTTTAACTCTGAAAGGAGACAGAAGGAAACAGGAAAGGGCAGCCCATTCTCAGAAAGGGACAACTTCTGCATTTAGCTTCTTCTGGAAAACTCTCAGGCCTCATCCTGCTATAAGGTCTCCTATGGGTATTCCCCATTGACTGGTCTAGGAGTGATTAGTCTCAGGACAGATCCTGAGAAGATGCTTGCCTGCAGTTTCAGAAGCAGTTCTGCAGTCTAAGGTCTTGCCTTCAGCCACAGAAGTCTCCTTAAACCCAAGTTAAAATTAATTTATAAAGATCCAGCTAGAAAGAAAGTTGGATCAAAAACCTGGCAAAGGGGTTGGAGGTACAGGGGGTTAAAATTGGGAAAGAAGCCCCTTACTGCCAAGATGTTACTGCTTGGAGTTTAGCATGCTTTGTGGTCCTCTTGTTGCCATTCTGCAGATAAGAGGTAAAAACTGTATCATACAATGTAAATTGCACAGAGATTTCTGCACATGGTCATAAAAATGCTGCTGACTGAAGAGGCACAGGAGCAAACACACAGCTGCACAAACCATGACAGCTTTGGGCATGAAAGGATGTGCTGAAGGAGACTGTCCTTTTGGCATCAGCCTACTTCAGCAGTCTCCTCATCTGACTAGGAACTGCAAACAGGCCATGGTTGCCACTGTCCTTTTTATTTTTATCATCAGGACCAGACAAAAGACACTGGTGTTAAAGTAGTACTTGGGTTCATACAGAGGTACTGACATCCCTTCTGGAAAAACAATATGCAACAATGCTAAGGTCAAAACTCCGATCTTTAAAGCCTGCAAAGAATGAGAAGTAGCAAAGCCCAGTTTCCTCCCTAAATCTTGGAGCACCCCTACCCCAAGCTCCCTTCTCACTTCTGCTTGTTTCCCTGGCAGTTTTGCTTCTGTTCCCTGTTACTGGGGCACTGGAGGGAAGCTGGGAGATGCCACAGCTGCCAAATATAGGGAAACCCTCTGCTTCAGGGCCCTGCTTGCTCCACATCAAACACAGAGAGAATCCTGCACCCATCTGCAGCAGACTCTTGCACTCAGAAAACAGTGAGCAGTGTTGCTAAAATCTATGCTCTACCTGTTCTTAAAACAACATAGCAGCCTTCCAGTATCTGAAGGGGGTCTACAAGGATGCTGGGGAGGGACTTTTCATCAGACTCTGTAGCAATAGGACAAGAGGTTATGGGTTTACACTTAAATAGGGGAAGTTCAGGTTAGATATAAGGAAGAAGTTCTTTACTGTGAGGGTGGTGAGGTACTAGAACAGGTTGCCCAAAGAAGTGGTAAATGCTCCATCCCTGGCAGTGTTCAAAGCCAGGCTGGACAGAGCCTTGGGTGACATGGTCTAGTGTGAGGTGTCCCTGCCCAGGGCAGGAGGTTGGAACTAGATGATCTTAAGGTCCTTTCCAACCCTAACCCATAGAATCTATGATTCTATCCATGCCTTCCTAGCCTGCCTGCGACTGCAGAATTACCCTAACTTAGCAGTGACTTATAGAGCAGATTCTATAAACTACTACTTTCCTAGTCATCCAGCAACAGGGAGATGAGAAAGGGTTCTCCTGTGATACTCACAATTAGCGTTAAGCAACAAGCAACTGCTACCCTGCTTCTCTGCTGGATATGAGAGCATGCAAGAAGACCCCTCCATGATTAACACCTCAATGTACAACACATTGGCTAGAGATGCTGGCGGGGTCACGTAACAACAACAAGCCACCACCACAGTGCAACACAAAGCCAAACCCCAAACTGAAACTGCCTTTTGTCAAAGCAGGACCCAGAAAGATTGGAAGAATGAGTCCTCTTTGTATTACTGCTGCAGATAGACCTTATTCCAAGGAATATGGCTGTATGTCCTCACCATGCTGGTCACTGAATGGGCGCACAAAGATCTCAAACAAAAATTCTGACCTTGGGAGGTTCAAACACAGGAATGTGTTATTTTCCAAATATAAAATCAAGGTCAAAGAAGGTCAGTGATTCTATCAAACAGTGCACAAAATTACAGCCATGGGCCAGCAGCGTCACCAGGGGAACAGAGCTACTTTAAGGGTGCTTGCAAGAGCAGTCTGATAAAGATCCAACTCCAACTTCCTTACAAGGGTCACAATCACCACTCCATAACAGAGGCCAGATGCACCACAATAAAGGTCTCTCTTTCACTGGAGTAGATGCTACATGATTTTTTGACAAAGAAAGATGTTTCAATGCTAAGATGTCGCTGCTTTGCCAAATAGCTAGACTAGATGTTTCGCTTATCAGTGCTTATGTTACTCGTGTTTTGTGCATCACATCTTCTTATATCTGATGCAGGCTCTCCCTCAGTTGTTCACCTGTTTCTTACAGACAGCAAGATCAGCTAGATGGACTGACTGTATACTAGAACAAACAACTTGGGTCAGAGGAGGTACAGAAAGAGGAAGAGAACCTATTATAACAACTTATTGCCCAGCAGAGGAAGTACTGCAGATAACTTGAGAAAAAAGTGGAAGGGGTGGAGATTTAGCTAATCAGTGAGTGATCCTCCAAGAGCTGGAAGCCAAGGCACTTCCTTTAGTAATAAGCTCAGTTTGCTAAACAAAACATTTCTACTCTTAAAGCCATCAAAAATTCAGAAAGTCATTTAGATTACTACACTAGATAAAAAGTTCCCCTATTCAGAGTTCCTCATAATGCAAGAAAGGAAAAAAAAAAAAAAAGTTAAAACCAAAACAGGATGCTAAGAATCAGCCTGCTAAAGGCAGAGTCTCCACACAACTGAGGGGTTTTTTTGTTTTGCAATTTTTACCTTCCTTTCTGCAAAAAAAAAAGTGTTACTGAGCCAGAACTAGAAAACAGACACAGACTAATCTCTGTATACAGGCCTCTATTAGCCTTTCCAATTACTCTGGCACCTGCAAAGGGACTGAGCTGTTACTTGAAGGAGGGGTTGGCTTAAGACCTGCAAGAAGTCTTTGCACAAAAAGGAAGAAGGCAACATTAGAATTAAAAATAACTCTGTATGCTTAAAAAATATAAGCGTGGTCAAAGCTGAGACTGCGATAAGGGAAATGTGTCAAGATCTGGACTGAACTACAAATACTGAACCAACTAATTTTTTTTTATTTTTTTTAAACAATCTAAAACATGGTTAAGAGGAGAACACATCCTTAAGAAGGCACAAGCGGCAGCAACATCAATACCCGCCTTGTTTATTACCTCCATTGTGACCCATGTTCTTTGGCTCCAGACTAACATGCTTAAGTGTATGTCATAAAGGCTACTAACATCACACCATTTCTTGTTTCAGTCTTAAAATACAGGTGAAAAGCAGGAAAAGTTCCAGCTTTCTTTTCAGAAAGGCAGCTTGTTTCTGTTGACAACAGTATAAAGACAGGGAAAGGGAAAGACTAGGAAGCAGTAATAGTTAAAAATTTGTATTAAAAAACCCAACAGGGAATAACAAGTTACATATTTGCCTTTATATGGCCTCTCTGCACATCAGGTATCAATTTGAAACTGAGAAGAACTTCAAATTTGATTATGATTTCCCCTTTGTGTGCCACAGGTGCAATTTAAGTATATTCAGTTTTATGTAACACATTAATAGAAAGATCTAAATGCTGTGGCTAGGGAAGATGGCTGTATAGAAAAGGGTGAAGAGCTGAGCTGTGTGTTAGCCAAGCTAAATCAACAGGACAAAAGTCACTAATAATTAAAGAATGTTGGCATTAAAAGGGATTTAGCATGCTAGAAAATGGCACAACTTAAACTGATGAACTAAACAAGGTTTAGAAAATAATCTATTTGCTGTAGATGTAGTAAACAAACCCTGCCAAATAAGGAAGGTTTATCTTCTCGCAAAATACCACTTTATTTAAAAAGAAATAATCCAAGCACTGCAATTTGAAAGGTGAACTGCATTTAAATAGATGCTATATCATTTTCCAGATACCACACAGTGCCAAAACTCCTGCTGATCAGCTTTCCGCGTGGCAGCAAAGCAAAGGCACCACTGAAGAGGGTGTCAACATTTACCAAAATCAATTACGCAATAAAGACAAATGTGGGTGTTTATTTGGGGGTTTCTGTTATCTTGTTTTTGCAACTCCCACATATTACTTGCTCTCCAGTACATAGAAGGGAACTGGAACACTTCAGAGTACAGAGTAGTTAAGAAAAACTTCATAAAACTATTCAAATTATGTCTGATGCTCTATAAAGCAAGGCAATTTATAAAATAGAGAGCAAGTTCCAACTTAACTTGTGGGTCTGGAAGCAACATATAGAGTTTACCTCTATGATGGCTTTGGCCTCTCTTCCTAACCTAATGCAAATAAATCAAACTGACAAGATCCAAACCCAAAAATCTGAACAAGAATCCAGATTTCTGATGTTATGAAAAGCTAGCACATAAAAAGTAATGCATTATCACGAAATACCAACTCTGCTAAACCTGAATGTGCTGAATGTGTCCGATAAGAAAGTATTAACAATTCACATTTCCTTTCTGGCTAGGACCTGAGTGAGAGACAACTGGCAATTAAATTAGAAATTAAACCAACTTACTTGCAATATCCTGTACCATTCTGATATGGAATGCACTTTCCCTCATTAACACATGGCCTGGAATCATCCATACACTGTAAAGCTGAAAGGAAATGAGAGTCAAATCAGTAGCCATACATGTCAAGTCAAAGCTTCATTAGCATATTTTGAGGAATTAAAATCTTATAGCAGAAAATTTTGTATGTCTGGAACAGAAACAAAGACATTATCACAGAGTTTAATTTAATCTCTGGCAGCATCAAAGAGCCAGGCTGGAAGAAGAATAAAATACAGATTTGTTCATCAGGCAACTAAATGTTTTTAGAATTTCTTTTAGGTAGATTTTCAAAGCAAAGCATTGCAGTAGTTTCTACATTCGTGTCAGCACTTGTGTATTTTGACTTAAACGTCACCAATGACTACCTTCTGATCAAAATTCTAGACCAAAATTCACCAAAATAAGAGGCAACTACTCCTAAGCCGCCTTTAAAAATATTTTGTCTCAAATCTTTCCTTCTTTTCAACCACCTTTAGGGACACTTGGCACTCAAACAGGAGCATCTGTCCCTCACAATCTCACCTACTGTACATTTCTAATAATCCAGAATTCGCTGCAACATCATTACTGTTGTAGCACTCTGATTTCAGTCTCGGTTGCATTTAGGAGTAAGTGAAAACATCGGAGATGTTAAAGACTTTCAGCAAAGAATTTGTTATTTCTAAGGAGGAGATGCTCTGTAGCTCAAACTGACATTTTTGGTGTTACATTTTAAAAAAGGCCTTAGGTATGATACAGTTCAGGCTGGCCAATTTTTATCCAAGTCTACTGGAATCTCTAGTGGGATCTCTTTCTGATCAGCTCTGACAAGTGGTTCGTCTCTTCACGGGGACCTGAAGGAGCACACCACAGCTATTTCTGAAGTGAGCAGAAGGGTGAGAACTATGGAAAAGCTGCAGGAGCAGAAGGCACTCTAGAACCACAAAAATTTAGCCAGCCATCCTAGACCACAGCCTGCCATTTGAATAACACCAAACTAGTGGATAAAAGCTCTCAGAACCAGAAGATCTGGGCCCTATCCTAAACTTACAAATGTATTGAGAAATCACAAGCTCTTCCCAGCCTCCAGTTCTGTCTCCTGGCCCTCAAACACACACACTTCTGTGCCATTGTGGAAATAGGATCCGTAATCAGTCTTACAGGCAGCTAGAGGCATCAATGACATCCAGCCACGTAAACTGCCTACTTGTGACCAGCTGCTGAAGGGCAGATAGCCTTTTTGGTTTTTAAGGATAGCTTTCCTTTCCGCAAGAGGTATTAAATTTTCAATACAAATTCAGCAAGGGACATCAGGGAAGAAAACGGTCCAAACCACCACCAAGTTTATGTACTGACAACTAAGGAATAGGGCTCAGAAACAAAAGAGTTAACTCATCAGTTCAACCAAGCTTTCCCCGCAACCAGCCCAAATTCAGTCCAGCAATTAGACCACTTGGAACAGACTCCACTTACTGCTGTCCAGGGCTTGAAGTGTTATTTCTCAATAACCCTGGAGCATGCAAACAGCTCACGTGCACTATAAGGTACTATAGGAGCATTTCACACTTGCAATCCATACACAGAATACAGTTAAACTGAACACAGTTGCCCAAGAAAATTATCAGTATTTCCCACAATATGAGTACAGCTGTTTCTGTTAACTTGATTTCTGAAAAGGGGGCACTTGGATGGAGCTGCTTCTGCAGAGCTCTCAGGAAATGAACAAAATTCCACTCTGAGCCCCTTTCAGATAACCCCTGAGGTCAGGGTTACCAAGCGACAGAAATATTAACACAGATTTTGCATGGCATTCCCTCCCACAGCAGTCAAACACACACTGATTTGCACCTGTCTGAATTTTCACCCCATTTAACGGCAACATCTGCAAGACTTCGACTCCAAATTTCATCTGCTTCTGTCTAACACTACAGCAGCTTGTTTTCACAACAGAGATTAACTCCAGTTAGCATGGTTCAGTTACAGTGTGTTCAAGAGAAACTGCAAAAGAACCTATAACGATTCAGACTGCTCTTACCTCCTATGGTAACTCAGGGAAACAGAGGAAGGTTAAAACAAGCCTTACTCCACTTCAGAGAACCAGAAGGGTATGCAGTCTTCATATTCTCATCTTACTACCTTGAATGCTCATTCTTTTCACACCAATCAAGCCAGTGGAGCAAATACTCAGAGGATTATTTCTTTTGTGCCCATGCTTTCAAACACAATTTTGTAAACTCTTCAAGTACTCGTGTACCCAGTGAGAACTGAGCAGTCAGTTGATTTTGTAACCCACACAGTAAAAGCTTAACTAGCATTTGGCCAAAAACATGCAGCACAACTTTACGGAGGGGAACAAGAGGATGATGGCTTTCAGGGTCACAGTAAGGATCCAAATCAGTGATTCCTGTTTAGCTCAACAGGCCAAACACAGAGAGAGTAGAGAGGCTTTAGCAAAGTAATGATTAATTTGCTCCCGGTTTTTGACAAATTATTCCTGCCTTGAACTGCTGTTTAGCAGGTCATTAAACCACTGCTAGTCCTTAGAATTCTTTAACAGAGGCACACAGTGAATGGGGCAATGAAGGCAGCTAAAAACATATTTTGTATTTAGTAATTTACAAGTGAAAGAAGCTGAAAAAAACAAAAGCAAAATGACTCTTGTACTCTTTCAGGTTAAGACTAAAATAGGCCAAACAGAAATACATTGAAATGCAGCTAAAGCCAAAGTGCATGTAAATGTAACCATATTTTATATTAAAATGAGTATTAAAAAGTAACATGACCACTTCTCTTTAAAGAAAGAAATCACAAGGGAGACTGAAGACTACAGTTCTCACAGTAAAATTAGCAATTCTGTGCACAAAGCACTGTCTTCCGGTATTTCATGATATCTTTAAGAATTTCATAATGCATACAAAACTGAAGCATTTCAACATGAATTACTTCAAAAGCTACTTTTCTGCTATGCGACCATGTTGTGCTCAGGAGTTAACAGTATCAGAAACTTTACCTTCTACCTCAGCCACCACTAAAAGCATGTCTCCTTACATCCATTATGGTAACTGGAAACACTTCGGCGTGCACAGCATGAGAGAACATAGCCTTGTCTTGAAAAGATAAGGCCACTTTTCTATAAGCCATATATAGATAGATAGCATCAGCACACTGTCAAGGCTTTGAGTAACAGGCTGCTTTCAACAGTTTTCTTCTGTGTTTTAAAAACCAGCAATAAGGAATTATTTGTTGTTTTCTGGACTTGCTCTAGCTTGCCAAAACTATCAGAATCTGGGTTAGCCCACGCCAAGCATTAACAGCGATGTTTCAAGTCCTCGCACCCTGGTGCAGTTGGAGGGCTTGCTCCGGTATGCCAGCAGGTTTCAAGGGGAAATCCCACAGCTTTTTCATGTGCTGAACTGCCTCATGATCTTTGTCAGTCCCTTTGGGATGAATATGGGAATATTAGAAAACATCCCACAATTATCAGAAGGCAGACTTCTTATGAAGAGTGCAGGCCACCACTTATGGAAGGTGGTGGCCCCAATTTCTAGCATGTGTTGTAGCCAAGTTTGAAAAACTTCCTGGATGAGGGCTCTAAGCGCACATAAGATTAATATTTTTAGCTATACTACCTAGCCTAACATCTATACAAATCCTCACACATGCCTTCATTTAGAAACAAATACTAACCTGATGTTTAACCAGCCTACCAGAACTACTTCCCAAAGCCAGAAGGGAAAAGAAGTATCCACTGATGTAAAATGAGCACAAGCAGAAAGTGTTACTCACAGAAACGCTATAGGAGCTGCTGTGATTCTCAACATCCAAATCCAAAGCTCATGCTTAACTGGAGTACAATTTCACTGATTTTTTTGGCTAAAGAGGCAGTTAAAGCAAATCTAAGAGGAAAAGTTGTGCACTGCACCACTGTTCTTTAGAATGCCAAGATGACGGGGAAGTTGTGATTGGGTTTCTATACTTCACCTACCCTACCCACTCTATATTCAGATACTTTCCAGGCTAGAAAATTAAAAGAAATAGTGAAGGATTAAGATTAGAAGATGTGTGAGACTTCAGCTTTTACGGGAGAAGGGAAACAAAGCCATAACACCAGAGAAAATCTGACAGAGCTTTGTTATAAATGCTAAAAGGAAAGTAATTCCAATAAACTCCTCACTCACAAGTTCAGAAAAAGTCAAGCAGAAATAAAAATGCAGAATACCAAAACAATTAATGCTCTGAGGAAGAGATGTTACAAAGCTGATTTCCTGTTGCTTTGTGGTTGATTATGCTGCATCTAAGAAGCTACAGGGTCTGACCAAAAGTTTTACTTTATATAAGGGAAGAGTAATAGACTGGCAGAGAACACTGCTGAGCTGTTGGTGCAGCTTTCTCCTTGGGAGGACACTACGTGGGTCTCTCTCTCATCTTTGTGTCCATGAATTTTCCATTAAGTCCATAAAAACTCAGTATCTTTCAAGAACACAGACCTCTATCACATTGCCTGAAACCTCTCCATAGGTTCAAAAGCTTTCTTGTGGGAAAGGGTGAAAAACAAACTTACTAAACATAGAAGAAAAGTCAGGCTCAAGATACCTTTAAGACTAGAAAGAAAACTAAAGGACAAAATAGGTTTCAATAACATAGTAGTCAGTGGATTTTCTGTCTTGACTGACATTAATGAGAAACAGCCTGTCATCTCAACAGTGTTACCCATTCTACGTGAAGAGAAAGGAGGAAAAAGGATTCAAAGCCCTCAAATAGATGCAACACAGGATACATGGGGAATCCTTGCACAAGCTCAGGCTCCTTGCCAAAGGTGGATAAGCTCTGAAGAGCACGAGCATCAGCATGGTCAGAGACACCATGCCACACTACAAATCAAGGGGTCTCAAAATTCCAAGGCAGTGAAAAACAGCTTCTGATTCCCTTCAGGAAAAACAGAGCATGAAAAATGCAGCTAAGAGAAAATGCTGAAACATGTGGTACAATCCTGAAGGAAGAACAGCAGGTCCTCAATATGCAGAAAGGGACAAAATAGTTCCGCAGAAGCACCTCATAGCACACAA